GGTTGATCACTATATAAATGTCATTTATTATTTATAATTATATTAATAATTTTATTTATTATTATTATTATTATTATAATTGTTATTATAAAATTCTCCAAACCAATCCTCCAGATTTTCACCGCTGGAAGCGCTGTCTGCAGACGATACTTTACGAAACTTCCGGAACTAGGTATCACCCCACCACCCGTCAGCCAACCAGAATCCTCGTAAAAGTCAGCTGACCAAAGCCACCAATCAGTGCTCATCGTTCCTATTAATCACTCTGATTGAATAAACGTTATACAAGTATAAATATATTTAATTACCAGTTTCATTGAAGATGGCATAGACTACTTCAAGATGGTTCACTTTCTAAAAATGGGACGTCGGCCACCTAAACGCAATAATAATAATTTTATTAGTGTATTTAAGTACTGTGTTTATCAAGGATTGCATGGACTACTACTACCACAAGATGGTTCGCGCACTAACATGTGGTCTTCAGCCTCCTAAACACAATAATAATCATGTCGCCACGGGCTCTAGTGGAAACTCTCTGTTTCGTTTCTCAAGCAGAGGTTCTTTTTTAACAATCTGTACTTATGACTCTTCATAAAATAGTATCTGCATACAATAACATTAATGTACCCACCCATAGTCAAAATAGTATCTTGCGTACAATATCATTAATGTAACTGCACATGTTTTAAACAGTATCCTGTATACATTGACATTAATGTTCCCCCTTACGTTTTTAACAGTCTAATGGGTGAGTGAACCATCTTGAGGTGTATGTATATGACGATACTTCTGAGGAAGAACCCGTTTAAGTATGTCATTCTTGCTTCTACAAATTGGCGTGCATGTTTTGAACGCAGTGTTTAATAATAAAACGACAATCCATCAATTTATTTATCTCATTCTACTTACTTGCTGTCCCACCCATCTATCTCGGTATTGTCGTTCCAGCCTCTGAGGGCACGGGTGGGCGTTTGTTCATGTGTATCTATACTACTGTGCTATTGCAAGGGAGGGGGGCTGAAGGAAAGTATTTTTAAGGTAGGGGTGGACGCTACAGAGAGAGAGAGAGG